ACTTAGACATTACCAGTGTACAATGTTCAAATACTTGTAAACCAAGTTTAGCCAACCCAAACCAGGTACATCAAAAAGTAAAATCATTTATTGATTCATTTGATTCGTATGCTAAATATGTGGTTGTAGAGCTTTTAGGCCTCACTTCAGGGGTGGCAATAGGAATTTATTTGCAGTGGTGCTGAAACATATGAAGGGGGTGCTATACCTGTGGTTGGCAATATGTGAAAACTGGGCATTGGGGAATGGGGGTTAAATTTGCTATCTTTTTGTTTGGTTTTTCAGTTTGAATGCAACCTATTAGGCTGCTGATGCAATATGTTCCACGGCCCATTTGCCAATTGAAAGGTATTGTTTCACTATTATTTTATTGTGCTGCATGAACGATATAAGTGTCTATAAAGAGTGAGATGCTAAAACAGGCAGATTATGCACTGACGTGCTACTATAAGAAGCAGAAATGCATGTTCTGATGTTGAATACCCTCTCTTTGTGCATACCCTCACAAAAAAGTGTTCCCACCAACAGCGAACTAGCACTGATTTTTCACCATTATCTTCAACAAATTACTGGAACTTTGCTCTGTTTCCACATGCTTGAAAACATCCACCATTACTGCAGTCCCCCCAAAAAAATGAACATCACTGAACTAAATGACTACAGGCCAGTAGCCCTGACCTCTGTAGTGATGAAGGTATTTGAGTGCCAGGTGCTAGCCCACCTGAGAACCATTACAAACCTTCTGCTGGATCCCCTGCAGTTTGCATATAGAGCTAACAGGTCTGACAACCACACAGTCAGCTTGGCTCTGCACTGGAACACTAGAGTTCTGGTTGTGGACTTCAGCTCGGCATTCAACACTATAGTACCAGAGCTGCTGCAGGTTAGATTGTCCCAGCTGTCAGTGCCAGATCCCATCTGCTGGTAGATCATGGATTTGCTGACAAACAGCAGATGCAGCTAGGAAAACACGTCAGACCCCCGGACCCTCAGTGAAGATCCTGAAGTTTGCAGATGACACAACCATGGGCCTCATAGCCAATGTGGCTACCACCTGCTGCTAAACACAGAAAAAACGGTGGAGATGGTGGTGGACTTCAGGCGCAGCCCCCCCCCCCCATCATCAGTGGCTCTGTGGGGTCCACTATAAGGTCACCTAAGATCCTGGGCAACACCATATCCAGGGATCTGAAGTGGGAGAGGAACATGGCCTCCATTGCCAAGAAAGCACAGCAAAGAATGTTCCTCCTGAGACAGCGGAAGAAATTCAACCTGCCGCAGAGTCTGATGATCCAGTTCTACACAGTGACCATCCTCACATCATCCACAAACCATCTGTCTGGTTTGGTTCCTTCACCTCACAAGAACGAGCCAAACTCCAGTGCATAATCAGGACAGCGGAGATGATCATTAGAAGTATCAGCTAACATGTCAGAACATCTATGCAGCGATGTGATGAAGCATGCCGGCAAACTAACAGCTGACCCCTCTCACCCTGGACATCAGCTCCTCCAGACACTCCCCTCTGGTAGAAGATTCAGGGCCATCAAAACCAGCACAGCCAGACATTCTAGCAGCTTTTTACCCAGAGCTGTAGATCATTAACCACAGTGGACACTTCACACTTTAAATTTAAACTGAACCAACAAACCAAGTTACAGAATTACAGTATAACTCTTCCTGTAGCGTAATGCTTATTCGCACTACTGTATAAGTAAGTTTTTACGGATGTTTGTATCTGTAATATTCTGTATATAGTAGTTTTTATAGTACATTTTATAGTACATATCTACTAGGCCTGCGTACATACAGACATTCCTATCTGCATTATGTACAGATATCCACACATCTCAGATGTACATCTGGGTCCTGAGTCCCTTCACACTGGCTGTTTTTTATTATTGTTCTTTATTCTATATTCTGTTCATTGTATTTTATTTCACTTTTCCCTTAGATTAATGCTTCTAAATAGTCTGTGTGCTGTCTGGTCTGTTTAATATGGTACATGTCATACATGTATGTTTCACCAAGACAGATTCCTTGTATGTGTAACATACTTGACAAAATAAAGTGATTCTGATTCTGAAGCAGCGTGAATCTGGAACCACCGTTCATTTGTTTAGTGTGCACCCGAGTACAGTTGGACTGTTCACACCTGTCAAAATGGACCGAACTTATGAAAAAGTTAGGTCCACACTTACTCTGTTTGATGGCGTAGCCTACATTTCTGTGCGTACACAAGTTTGAATTTCTCATGGTGGAAGGAAACAGATAGTTTCCAACATTTGCAATTTACAACATTTGATGTCCAGTATGTGTTAATGTCCTAGTATAGACTAAACAATATAAACGAAAATGCAGATTTACTTCGCTCTGCTTTAGCGTTAAGCTTTAGCTATAGCCGCTTTCCTCCCATCTCCACCAGAAAACTTTTCCTCAGAAGTTGATCAGTTAAACGTCTCTCAGCCTTCGACTGTTTTACGAGGCTGAACTCGCTTCTTATTCTCCAGCTTCTTGTTCGAATTTATCTGTTCCACCTTAAATTCTAACTGAGGCACCAAATGTAAATGTGGCACCATTTAAGGTGGAGCGGGAGAATTCGTAAGAGAAGCTGAATTCAGCTTCGCCACTTTTTAGTGTGTGACAGTCTCTCGTTGCAGATTTAACGTACCAGGAAACCAACTGCGCTGCTTATAAATGCGAATAACGCATCGCTGCTATATGACCAGCAGTCTGCACGCCGGTTCTCAGTCGTTGCAAAACAGGGCTTTCGCGCTATGTTGCACACGACCCGTCTCAAACATATTTCACTGACACAGCGATTCCCCCCGTCTCTACAACGAGACCAAAACCGAAGTTATAAAATCACTAAAGAAAACGGGTAGAATATGTATATTTTGTGTATATTTAATATATTTCTGTTGGTTTTTCTTGTATTTTTATTTATTTACTTTCTATAGAGTGATTAGCTGAGCCTCATTACAAGCATTTCAATGCATAAATATCCTGACATGTTGTGCAAATGACAAACTTGAAACTTGAACTCGAAACTTGAGCTCACACAGTGAGAAAATATAAATGCTATATAGAAAAAAAAGATGCATCGAGATGCATCGATAATCGTTTTATAATCGCATCGCAGCCCTCTGAATCGTAATCGGATCGTGAGATGCCTAGAGCCAGAGAAACGCTCAGGGCAAAGGAGAAGAAACGGTTCATACATTTACCACACACGTTGTTTTCACTAGTTTATTTAGTAGTTTTAAAAGCACTTTGTTCCATTGCATTATCAAAAACTGCAATATTAGCGATCATTCTCTGCTCAGATGGCAGACAGACAGTGAGTGTGAGGGACAGAAAGGGAGCCTGTAGGACCAACATGGTGCAGTATCTGTGTCCAGAGAACAGAAGAACACCTTTCTCTTTGACTTGGAGCTTGAAACTGCGAATTGTCAGTATATTGTTGTGAATGGCCAAGCTTTGGAAAAGTGGACCCTCTTCAAGGCTGTTGATGTCTGTTTGAAATGTTTTATTGTTTTGATCTGCTGATTAGTTCAATTTGTCATTGTTAAATTATAAATAATAAAAACGTCAAAAAGAATCCATAATTTATATTATTATTATTATTATTATTATTATAGCGCTGTCACCTCACAGCAAGAAGGGTTCGATTCCCTGGCCTGGTGACAAGGGCCCTTTCAGAGTGTGGAGTTTGCATGTTCTCCCCGTGTCTATGGGTTTCCTCCGGGTGCTCCAGTTTCTTCTCGCAGTCCAAAGACATGCAGTCAGGCCAGTTGGAGATACTAAATTGTCACTAGGTTGTGTGTGTGTGTGTGTGTGTGTGTGTGTGTGTGTGTGTGAATGTGTATGTCTGTGTGTCTGCCCTGTGATGGACTTACGACCAGGGTGTTTCCTGCCTTCCGTTAAATGAGCACTGGTACAGGCTCCAGCATCCCCAGCGACCCAGAAAGATAAGTGGCTTAAATGATGAGTGAGATTATTGCTATTGTTATTGTTATTGTTGATATTATTATTATTATTATTATTATTATAAATCAACTGAAAAAAACAAGCCAACATTCATGGTAAAATTAGCCCAGCACTGAGTAAAAAAGACTCCAGAACTGCATCATTCAAATGACCCAGCACAGTGGTTAAATTACTTGGATTTGTATAACCGAGGATGTGTTCTGTCCAGTATTTACCCAGTGCTGGGTTGCCAAATAACCCAGCTTGGGTTGTTTTCAGCCCAGCATTTTTTAGAGTGTGACAGGTTTGAACATTTCACTCATACTCGGGTGCACACTAAACAAATGAACTGTAGCCCTCAAAAAATCACAGCTTTCTGTTGTTCAGTTCGCTGCAGTTGGGAGCGCTTTTTATCTGATAGTCTGAAGCAAACAAATGAATTCAACATCAGTGCACATCAGTGCTGCACTGTCTTGGCCTATTAAATTTTTGACTCTCTACTGAGGCTTGTTTTGTCCTTGCAGCATGAGCTGTTTCTAATAATGGCAGAAGAGCAACAACAAACCATTTTATTTTGTCACACAGACCACAGAATTTATTTTTGATAGGTTGTGCCAGACATCAGTGTACTGTTTGGTTGAATTCAAACTGACACGTATTAAACCAATCAAGCATAAAGAAGTAGAGATGGAATGAGGTTTATTTGTATGTCTCTGATTGCGGTACATGGCGACATTAATCGATTTTGAGGGGGTGCCCTGCCTCACTGTGTCAAACTGGGCTCAAAACTCAAAAAGTTTATTACATTTCATCATGCTATGTTAAGTTTCTCTCATAATTCTCTGAAGATCTACCATCTAAAACCTTGTCAGGTAGCCACGGATTGTAATCTAGTTTTTAGTGGTTAATGTGCTATGATATGTTGCCCCTGGAATTATGGTGAACTTTATTTAGTCTAGTACTTGTTAGTTGTGTCTGGGAAGGTTTTTTCCCTCCATTGAACAAGAAAACAAGCACAGCTTTGAATAATGCTAATTCAGATTTGACTCATTTATTGCCCATTTAATGGCAAATTTACAATGTCGTGGTTAAAATTAAACTTTTCAATTATAAATAATAACATCTTCAAATAAACTCCACAATAAATTCTAATAAATACAATCTGCTTCAAAAGAAAACCTGCCCATAAATATGATAAATTAATACAATATAGGTTAGCATTAAAAAAAATGCCTTGTTAAACATTTTAAACATACATATCAAATGTATAATTCTGCCACTGCATTGTTGGTTGGAGTGCAGTCGTAGAGCAGTGATTGGTGCTTGGTTCATTCTTCTTCTGAGACTTTAACTGCTCTCAGTTGAGCTCTGTGGTGTTGAGAAAGTCAGGCGAGGTGACACAGAGGTTGGAGACACTGTCGTCCTTTGTTGTCTTCTAAGAAAATGAGAAAACATAGAAAATCAGGGTTTGATTGACACAACATGAAAAGTGGTGTTTTTACATTTTACAACACTTTTGATAAAGCTCATGTTAAGCTTACCTAAACTCTTCAATCTTCTCCCGCACCCAAGGCTGTCTTGGATCAATGCAGAAATGTCCCCTTTCTGTCTCGAGGCTGTCAAAAGCAAGTTATTACAGTAATGAATACATAATTATCTTAAAGATGCACATTTGTAGTTGTAGGTATGCACTGTATGCTCTTCAATTTGCAGAAGTGGTCCTTACATGACAGCTTTGATGCATGGAGGGCTACTCTTCTGTAACCTGAAAGATTTCAGGGGTTCCACCACCCTGGACCTCGAGACAGAGACACAGCAGGGACTGACTTTCTCAGCATCTAAATGAGCAAAAACCCAAAACACAGCCGATGATTAAAAAGCACAACACAAATGAGAAATCTGTTGGAATATTGTCGCATATCTCACTTTACAGGAAAAACAAAAAAGTTCTTAAGTTAATGTGAAGCTAGTTTATCCATTCAATGTGGGTCCATTTCTGGTGTCAAGTTATCAAATTTTGGTGTAACAACAAAAATGCTGGTCCACAACTATAAAACATCACAGTAATGTCAAACATATCTGTAAACAAGTGCAGTCTACCTGCTGAGGTCCAGATGGTAAAAGCGATGATTGCTACGGCGGCCAGGCTCCTCATTACAGCTACGCTGGTCTTCATTTTCTTGCCTGATCTCTGTCTCGTCAGAAGAAACGACTGACTAGTGAGGGCGAAGCTGTGGTCTTAAGTAGCGGCAAAAGAGGAACTGAGAAAAGTGAAGATGCGTTCCATTGTGTCCTAATAGAGAGTATTTCTGTCAGAGGTACGGCCCTTTTTCTGCCCAGTCACTATATATGGCTCTGCCGGGCATTTTCCAGTTTCGCAGGGGATGTGACCTCATTGTTCATGACCAAGCGGAAACTTGACTTAAACTGACCGTTTCAGTTGTCCTTCGAAGGTGGAAAATTCTGAGGGAAGCTAGCTCTACCCAGCTGACTACACTGCCTAATCTACAACTGTATGTGATACATTAAGGAGTGCAAGGCTGAATCCCTCGATATGAGACAATGGAGTCGTCCACGCTTTGACTTTTACTGTGTTTTTGCTCAGGAGTCATTTTCATCATGACTTTTCATTTTCTCTTTCTAATTCCTGTCATGTTGTGTTAGTGTTCTCAACACTTCAATATACAGAGTGCCTTGGTAAGGAAAAAGGAATGTGAATATGTTGGCATATAGAGGCCAAAAAGTATGTGGAAATGTAACCACTAGTAAACTTTAATGAAGTTCTTAATAAATAAATAAATAAATAAATAAATGAATAAAAAACAGGAAGTAACTGGCAGCAGTGTTGCAGGAAGTTACTGTAAATTTAACAGCATCCAGTGTTACAGAAACATACAGTTCAATACCGCTTGTATATGTACAGGATGCAACTGTAGAGTATAATGCTGTATAATGCTGCTAATGTTAATTGTATCTTTTGTATATGTATCTATTGTTTTCTCTATATTTGTTTTGTTTTCTATATTTTTTCTATATGTGTGTTTGCTAGTTGTTAATCATGCTTCCAGGCTCTGACAAACACTAATTCTCTTATGAACTCCAGCTCCCAAGATGCATTAGTGAGTCACATGACCCAGCCAGCCAATCATCCACCAGTCATCAAATCTCGGTCATTGGAATCCTAATTGCTTTCACCTGTTACCTGTTGTGTATATATACCCATCTGTTCATTTCATTCATTGTGAAGTGTTGCCTCTGTTTTGCCAGTGTGTACTGAGCCTTTCTCATTTGTTTGTTTATTCTTCTGTTGTGAGCCCGTTTTGCCTATTGTTTTTTGGATTTTCCCCTTTGGCTAAGGTTACTGGTTTGCTTGCTTTTTTGGTTTAGACTCTCGCTTGTTTCCTTACAACTCTTTTTGTCTAAATCCTATGTGCTGTGTTTCGCTCTTTTGGTGTTTGACCTGGCCTGGTGTTCTCTTTGCCCCTTTGGATCGTCCTCTTTTTAATAAACATTATGGCTTATTTTACATCTACGAGTGTCTGGTTCGTTCACTCAGTGTTACAACAATAAAGACAGTTAACATGGCCTTTCTGATCATATAAACATGAAACAAAAACAGTTTGAGTACATCTTGGAAAACATTTCTTATTTTATTGTAAATAATGTTTTGATTGCACTTGCAATTAGTCTGCACATTTGCCACCTCAGAAACTGCATTGTCAACAAAGAGACTGAAAAAATCTGTTCTAAACTGGTTTATGCTGGTCTGGAGCTGGTTTAACCAACACACCCCACATCCAAAACACAACACATACTGGTTTTGTTGGTGACCAGCTATGCTGGTCCATGCTAGTTTTTCTAGTAGGGCATTTAGATGCATTAACTTACAATAATTGACCTTCGACATTACCAGTGCAAAAACCAATGTTCAAAAACTTGTAAACCAAGTTTAGCCAACACAAACCAAATAAAGTAAAAACTAAAATCACTTATTGATTCATTAATAAATGCTAAAAATGTGGTTGTAGAGCTTTTAGGCCTGGAAAGCTGGCTGGAAGGTCATGCCCTCACTGCAGGGGCGGCAATTGGAATTTATTTGTAGTGGTGCTGAAACATGAAGGGGTTGCTATATCTGTAGATGTTGCGGTGGCAATATGTGAACACTGGGCATTAGAGAGTGGCGGTGGTATTTGCTATCTTTATGACTCGTTTGTCAATTTGAATGCTGATGCAATATGTATCATTACCCATTTGCCAAATTAAAAGCATTGCTTCACTTGTGCTTGTGCTACATGAACGATCTGAGCATATGTAAAGAGTGAGATGATGAAGCAGGCAGATTATGCGCTGACGTGTTGCTATAAGAAGCAGAAAAGCATGCTCTGATGTTGAATTCCCATGAATGATGTTGAATTGAATTTTGCATGAAAATGAGACACTTCTATGTGTGTCACAGTCAAAGCAATAACAATAAACCCTACTTGGTATCTGCTGTCTTTAAGCTTCATTTACTAAGCTGCAAGTGTGCTGGTTTCTCTTTTTCGCTGCCTGCACTGCTAAGGCTCAATGTGGGTTCGAGGTGTGAGCTGTATTTTTACAGTGTGATCACAAACAGTGGCGTGGTGCAGTCATGTGTCCACCTCTTTTTCTCTACTTGATGGGCTTGGCAATAAAAGAGAAGCACCCACAAAATTAACAGTCATTGACTGTTTGACAGTCACTGCTGATCTCACGACGAACCATGTTGCATTGGAATAGCAATCTTTGTGCTTTGGCTGTGCTGCTCGTCCTTTTTGGCTGCACAACTGGTGTATCTGGTAGCTGTAAGTGTGCACTGAAATTTTTAGTACTTAGGAATTCAAATGACGGTACATAGCATTAAATGAAGGTGTTTGTTTTAAAGATTCGATATTGCTATTTCACTTCACTTATGCTAATGTTTTTTTTTTTGCATATGTCAAAGAACAATGAGTAATATGAATTCTTGACTTTAGTTGCTTTGCATTAAGGATCTTATTATCATGTATGGTGGTGCTGCACCTGCTTCTTTCTTGGACACTTTCAAACTGTAATCAAAAGTGGAAATATGAATCATTTAAAGCAACAACCTAAAAATTGACTGTGATATTGTGTTGAAGGTCAAAGGACTGTTGGTTTTTTTGCATACTTGCATTTTGTGTTTGGTTACATAAAACCTTCACGCTTGTAAAGTTATTAGTTTGGAAAGCCTCTCTCTCTCTAACTCTCACTTTCAGATCGTCTGCCTACTAGAGTCCAGCTGGTTTGCTGTGAGGAAGTGTCCAAAATGCCTATCCCGCGTAACATAGAGCTGATTGGATACAAGCACCAGAGTGCATTGGCACCTTGTGTTGAAGCAATTATGTAAATTTATCATTTATATCAGTTTTGCATCTTTTATCATTTCTCTAAACATTCTCAATAGCATAATTCCAGGGTTTGACCACATTTTAAAAAAAATTGTATAAATTATTTGTAGATTTTACTCAAAGACGGAAAAATTCTGCTCTGACCCCACCGCCCGCTGGATCCGAAAGAGACAAAAAGGTATTTATACATGCAGCCACCACAGTAGAGCCTGAACTAGACTTCATCTGTACATATATGTTCATTTTGTTAGGAACGTCAGTGCTCATCTATGGGCTCAACATGAAATTGAGTCTCTAAAAAATAAGCCTGATCTGATGACCATTTATTGTTAAAAGTTTCAGTAACCATCAGTAAATATCAGCGTGCATAAAAACAGGATTTTAATTATACTCATTATAAGTCTTGACAAACATGTAATCTCTAACTGTCCAGCCTTGGTAAATAGTAGGGATGTCCAGATCTGCTTTTTTGCAACACAATACTAAGTATACACCGATATTTGCATTTTCAGAGATGATTGAGCCAAATGTAGCCATTTAGGTAAAATTTGCCAGGCTAAGAAATAATTTTACACTTTTATTGTAAATCATTTTCTAAAAAAAAGTACACGCAATTCATTTTATATCTATAACGTGGTGCTCTTTTGTTTTTTGACCTAATTTTTTTATTATCATGCTATAGTATGTTTAATGGTGATTATGATCGAGTTTCAATTGACCTTGATAACTTGGCTACTAGTTACCATCCTGACATGAAATCTCTTCATTTTTTGTAGTGGTATAAACTCTGATCTGCTTTCTTTCCCTTTTTTGTGAAAAATGTCACTTTAAGTGTTGTTCTTATTGTGAAACAGTCTGCTTCTTTCTCTCTGTTTTGCAAGTTTTCATTTCTTTACTTTAAAATAGTTCCACACTGCAAGAACGTAGACCACTTAGACAACCTCTACGACTGTTGAATAAACAGAGTGTGAAATAAAAAGAGAAAAAGAGAGGATCAAATCTAGATCAGTTCATTCAAATATGCCTTGATCGCTCCAACATTACTAAACAGCTTGATGGTCAGATTTGATTTGTCTCAATAAAGGATTCAGCCACCCTCATATTAATCATATTAACCAATCTATCTTACAGATCTGGAAGAGTACAAAAACTGAAAATGGCAAACCAGTCCAAAGGATTTCTTGTTCATCTTTCTTTTATATTTGATCCATAATACATACTTCTGCATACTTATATATACTTACTTATAATATATACTTATGAATGCATTACACGTAGCCAGCAGTGAGTTATTGTTAGTACACTTTAATACCCCTGTTTATACCACTGTTTATATATAATCTCAGTGTGTAATCTCATTATGACTGTAAGCACTGCTGTTCTTAAGCAATAAAGTACCATTACTCTGCAAAAGTGTGCTGGTGTTCCTTCTATATAAACTGTGCGTGGAGAGGAGGAGAGTTTCTGTGACTAATAATGCACTGCTTTATTTTAAGACTTATATTTGCAGTTCTTCATCGTCTTGTGGCCGACAAACCAAAACGAAAGAAACAAGATGAACTGTAGGTGGAAGTGTAGACGTTGTGTTGTCTTGGTCATAAGTTTCTATGATTGGTTATGCGTTTTTATTTGCTCAGGCCTCTCATACTTCAACATTTCATTATAAATTCTCTTTCTTAATGTGAGTTAACTCTGTGAACCCAGATTTTGTTGTGCATTATGTACAAATGACAAAAACCATGTCATTCTTTTCAAAGGGCCACAGCTACAAAACCAAGTGCCTCCAACATGTACATTTTTGCCTATATATGTAGAAGTGATTTCCAGATCATCTGGAAAAAATGATGTGAAAGGTCCCTTGCAGTGCTTGCAGTGTGTTGCAAATGTTGATGTGACTCAATGTTGTCTTATAGTATTGAGCAAGAATCCTAGAAATACAAAATTAAGGGGGTTTGGCTGGATATTCAGAAATCAGTAGCTCTTATTTGTAGATAAATTTCAACAATAAATCTTTATATTTGCTATTTAGATCATACATGAACTTATTTCACTACCAGGTTTCAGTGAGACCACTGAAGCTGCACTCAAAGTATCACTTCACTTTCAAATTTCGACATGCATACAATAGCCATGATTATTAATAGCACTGTAGTTTTTAACAATATCTGATCAACACAGTGAATTACTGTGGTAAGCACTTGATAGAAAGCAAAGGCTCCTTTGAGCAACCATAACACGTTAATGTCTTAAGCCAGGAACTAAAAGAGCTCTGTCGTTCTGCTGGCTTCCTGGGACTTTTACTCAGAAAAGGAGCTACAGTCTGAGACAGCATTTTCATGAGCAGTGGAAATGAGTGATGAGGTCAGTTCTATGTGGGGAAGTAAGAAGCATGACTACATTTCTCTTTAATGCTGCACCACTTCACTTCATACCGGTAACTTCACTGTTTTTTACAATTGGCAGCCATTGACATTAAGTCTAATTTATGAGATATTCATCCAGTTAAACAAATAGTTTTGTGCCTAACTTTCCCCTTACCCCAAATGTCCTCAATCAGCCAAAGCACGTTTGACATTTGAACTTTTTAATTTTTTAGTTCTGCCCTGGAGCTTCGATGCAAATGTGTCTAATCACTGGACACTAGGTAAAGTACATTGTATGGCCATAATTAGTAGCAGCAGCCAGTCAGAAATTCAAGGTTTTCATAATACTGCACTGACATCGTGACCTACATGTGCCCCACAAAATGACCCATATTTCTTGGCTACCAAATTAGGGCTGTAGTTCGGTTTACGACAGAAAGTAGGTCTCTTCACTTGCAACGTATTTGACACCCTGCCCACAGGCTTTGCTTGGACAAAGGTCACATACCTAAGAACTGTAGCATCAGCCTGAATTAATGCCTGAATTTTGAGAAACCTGCTTTAGTACAAATGGAGCTCACATAGAACAACCAGGAGCAGAGCAAACACTGCGAGTTCATTTGGAAGAAGCTGGTTCAGCAGCTGAGGCAGACCGAGGCTGACCGTGAGGATCATGAACTTTAAAGTGACAGAAGTTCATGGCCTCATAACACTACACTGACATCACAAAATGACCCACGTTAGATATGGACTCAAGTTTGATGTGTCTGTCTCGTTTTCTCAGTGAGTCTTCTTGACAGCTACACATCTATTCAGACTCATAGCGCTGATGGGGACAGTTTTGGTGGTCTACCAGGTCTTGCTCATTTGTGAGGATTGTGTATTTTCCAGTTTTGGAAACTCCTGTTTTGTTTTTTTTTCCATTGACTTTCTCTTTTTTATGTAAGTGGATTGTCTTATATCTAATCTCCTAAAAATAAACATCTCCTAAAAGTGAATAATGGCAATTTTGACTGGAAATTAAATAAACAATGAGTGGTCTCTGACTTTTGCAGAGCACTGTGTGCTGTTTTTTTAAAACCTCAGTTTTAAGAATGCTAAGCAAAAACGTTGCAAAATCCAGACCACTCGTCTCCGACTCTGCCCTGACCCCACCCTATCACTTGTCACACCTTCATGCTCAACAAAGACGTGTTAAACCAACATGATAACCCAAGCGTGCAGTAAGGGTGATGCATTTTGTGTTACTTCTAAAAGTCACCTTAATTATTTATATAGAACACGTGTTTAGATTTTTAACAGGAAGATTTGTTCTAATTACATATTCTGTGTGAGATACACTGTTGAGTTGTACCAGCAAAATGTCTCACATGGTGCACAAGCTGTAAAATAAGTGTCAAGTTCAGTGCAGGATTACTGTAGATGACGAGGGGCGAGGATGGAAATTCAAAAGCACAAACTGAAACTAAAGATACTGATGCATTTCCCTTCAGTCAAAAAGTTTTCTTGCCCATGATTGATCCTATGAACTTCACATTTGAGCTGACCAAGAAAGTGAACAATAAGTTATACTTGTTGGTTTTGGTGGAACTTTGTTGAACTAACTGGGGCAATCAAATACAGCCTTTTCATCAGTGTTTCCTCAAAAATACATCAATACCAATGCTAGTCCGTTGTTAGATAGCTAACAGTTGCCAACACAGAAGCAAGTAACCCTTTGGAATGAGTCTCAGAGCCTTTTATTAGCTAGCACTACAGTAAATGCTAGCTGATACCCTGCTAGAAAAAACAGCAAAACCAGCATATGTTGTGTTTTGGATGCTGGTATGCTGGTCAACCAGTATGGCCATGCTGAGTGACCAGCACCGAACCAACACTAGACCATCATAAACCATCTTAGAACAGCATGGAATTCATGCTGGTCTGTGCTGTTTTCTCAGAAGAATAGACAACTACACAGCAGCCACAGAGATTGTGTCCCCATTGCACTAGTTTAGTGGTGCAAATCTGCAGGTTTGTGATGTACACCCATCTCCAAAGAGACTAACTTACAGTATTCTCATGGATAAATAGTGAGATGTTTTATTATTTTATGGTTCATTTTGACTAAGACTGGTGAGAGAAAAGACTTCTGTCCAATCACAAGCCAGATAACCAGTGTTATGAATGTTTTTGTTGCTAGCTAGCTAACATGGCAGGGCAGGAATGAAGCAAACATGTTAAAACACGTTATTTAGATAAATAGATTAAAGAATATACCACCAAGATTTCTTAGAGGTGCTTCTAAGTCATCACTCCTTATGTTTCTCATGTTGTTAATATTTCTATACAGTCAGCTACAGTACCAGATGCCTCAGAATGGTGAGATACAGAAACTAGTTTCTTATATGAACTACAGTCAGGTTTTTGAAAATCCCATTCTGCAGAAACATGCCTGCTCTATCTAGCTGATTCCATAAGAAGAGATGTAGATGAAGGAAAATTCTGAAAGATGGTTTTGTTGAATTTACAGAATTTGATGCAGTTGATCATGTAATTGTATTAACTAAGTTAAGGGCTGTGGGTTTTACTAGCTTGACCCTAAAATGGATTCAGTTGTGTTTAAAAAATCGTAGATGGGTGGTTGATGTAATGGGATCTTTTCAGAGCATGGGATGTGGAATTCCAGGTTGGAGTATTTGGGACTCTTGTTTTTTTTTATTTTACGTCAACAATATAAAATCAGTCTGTACATGTAGTCTCTAGATGATTCTGCTCTTTTGGTGTCTCATAAGGATAAAGCAGTTGCTGAAAATATGCTTAGTGCACAATTTCAAAATGTGAGCAAATTGTCATCAGATAATAGATTATCTCTACATCTTGGAAAAACAGAGGCTCTTGTTTTGGTTCTAAAATAAGGCTGGTTAAATCATCAGGCCTATTTGTAAAAGTAGGAGAAGGTATATTTACTACAAAAACAAGTGTAAACAGTCTTGGATGTGAATTAGTTGGTTCTGTGTCAGGTGAAGGTATGGCTTTGAAAGCCCTTGCTAAAATAAATAAAAAAATAAAATATTTAACGCTAGAGAAGCTTTGCGAATGTTGGCCGCAGCTTTAGTTCAGGGTCACTTTATATACGTGGTAACCTCATAGTATACAGGTTCGACTCAGAAACAAGCAAAGGCTGCTCTGGTTTCCTCCCACAGTCCAAAGACATGCAATCAGGCCAGCTGAAGCTAAGTTGCCCCTAGGTGTGAGTGTATGTGTGTGTGTGTGAATGTGTTTTTCTGTGCGTCTGCCCTGTGATGGACTGGCGACCTGTCCAGTGTGTTTCTTGCCTTCCACCAAATGACCGTTGAGATAGGCTCCATTGTGCTGGGTCATTAGAATTTCTGTAGTCTTTTTTTACTTAATGCTGAGTTAATTTCATCATGGATGTTGGGCTGTTTTTTTCAGTAGTGAACCGTGCCTCTAAAATCTTGGCTCTCTGAAATGTAAATCCTCCTTACAAATATTTGCATCATCATACAAGCTTTGTGTGCTTTTCAGGAAATGCATGACAGTCACAGCCTCCTACCACAAAACCAGCAGCATTTCTTCCAAGCCTTCACATCATGACAGCACACACAGCCAAGCAGCCATGAGCATCAGACACATCAGCATCTCAGCCATTCTAAGAGCGATGGGCAGACTTAATAATAAACTTCCTAAATCACAAAATCCATCTCTGGCCCGAGATCCCCTCTCAGAGCCCAACAGCAAGGAGTCCCAGCAGAGCGTTTGCTCCTTGGTCGATCCTGTCATCCAGCGGTAGCATGGTGTAATTGCTGGAGTTGAAATGCCTCTCAAAAGCTTCTTTTGCACCAAACTAAGCTCTGGTGTAGGTCGCCCTTTGCCGATTAACTACAACTTTTCATTAAAAGTTAATATAGAAAACAGTATGGATAATAAATTCATACCTCACTCACTCGCTGTAACGTCACTCTCGGCTTCCATCATGAACCAACAAGCTAGCTAGCTTTTTCATTGCTAGCTTTGTCCCCCAATTTTTCTGTCATTTGAAATTGGTCTCTCATTGAATTACTATTGCTTGGCCCTCTGTAAATTTATAGCAGGACCACCAATCACCAACATTCTTTCCAGCAACAGCAGATATAGCAAAATTCTGATCGGGGGAGACAAAGGAAATCCTTTAACAGTCCAGTACAAATTGAATAGGCAAATTTAAAGGATTTATGTGCTTAGATTTGAATGTTTTAGATGTTGCTTGTCAAAATATGATCAGATAAAACTAAAACTGCTCTATTTTAAAATATTATTTTTAGAATATCTTAGGCCCTCTCTGAGGGCATAGAGGGCCCTGAAGGTTCCCCCCTGTTTTTTTCTCACTCACTTATCATTTATGCAGCTTATCCTCCTGGGTCATTCTAACGATCCAGCACAAGTACTTAAACCAACCAGTTGGGTTGAAATAAAACAGTATTTACCCAGTGCTGGGTTGCCAAATAACCCAGGTTAGGTTGTTTTCAGCGAAGTATTTTTAGAGTGTAATTCAGTATTCAGGCACACATAAGGCTTTCACACCTACTTTGTTTTGTTCTGAACTTGTTCTTTAGTGTGACAGGTGGGACGAGTTGACTCATACTCTGGTGCATAACAAACGAATTAACTGTAGTCTGCAAAAAATTGCAGCTCTCTGTGTTTCAGTTTGCTGCTGATAGGAGCGGTCCAGAGCAAACAAGTGAATTCAAGATCAGTGCACGTCAGTGCTGCACTGTCTGTGTAATCAGTCTGTTTAACTTTAGACTCTTTACTGAGGCCCGTTTTGTTCTTGCAGCATGAGTTGTTCCTAAAAACAGCAGAAGAGCAACAACAATTTATTTCGTCACACAGACCACAGAGCTTATTTTTGATAGGTTGGGCCAGACATCAGCAAGCTGTTTGGTTAAATTCAAACTGACGTGTATTAAACCAATCAAGCATAAAGAAGTAGAGATGAAGTGAGGTTTATTTTTATGTTTCTGGTTGTGGTACATGGAGACATTTATTTTAATTAAACTCACAATATATTGTTACAATACATTTTAGTACGAATGTAAGTGAGCCATAAATCTGGGCTCTATACTGTGATGGCCTAATAAAAGTTAAAACAAAAATGGGTTGTTTAATGGAGGCAAATGGAACATTTTTCATGCTAAAGGGGGTGCTGAACAACTTTCAGGGGACGCCTTAGCACCCCCTAGCACCACCGTGGTGCCTCAACTGCCTCACTGTCAAACCAGATTCAAAACAGTTTATTACATGTTTCATCATGCTATGTTGAGTTTCTCTCATAACCCCTTAAAATCCCAGGCTTATTACTTACTAAGGCTTATTATTCAGTAACTACAGGGACTTTAATGCAAATTGGTTGAGCTATTCTTAGATTACTGAAGTGTGTATTAAAGCTTTGGGACACTGGCGGGCCCTGACTGTGTAAGGGGTTGATACTCTGAAGAAAACCATGACGATAACTTGTGTCTACGTTAGTTGTGTCTTGGAAGGTTTTATCCCTCCACTGAACAAGAAAACAGGTACAGCATTGCGTAATGCTAATTCAGATTTAATTCATTTAATAGCAATTTTACAATGTGTGGTGTTTTAAAATACAGGAGAACTAATTTCATTGACTTTTCAATTGTAAATAATTACATCTTCAAAATAACCCCACATGAAATTCTAATAAATACCATCTGCTTCAAAAGAAAAACTGCCTATAAATATGATAAAATAATAGGGTAACACTTTATAATAAGGGTACATGAACTGGCAGTAATTAAGGCATTTACTAATGAATAACTAATCAGAAAGTAATGAGTCATTAATCAGGAACAAATGAATAAGTCATATATTAACAACCACAAGACTAAATTGCTAACGCATGTACTAATGAATGAAGTTGAAGGTAATAAAGGCTTTATTCAGTGCCTGAATTCATTAGGAATTCATGTGTTAATTAATGTTGTCACAAGATCCCCCTGAGACACAGTGCTCTGCAATATTATGACTAAGTCAACTGTTTTTTTTATAGCTCCATCCTCTGATCATCTTGTCCTTCTTCTTCTTCATGTTGTGTAAGCAGCCCTTGTATTTGCCTGTTTCTATCTGTCAGGTCTTGAGTTTATTGTTTTTGATTTTTTATGTTACCTTGTCTGTTTCTACCCACCTAGTGACTGTTTAGTAAAATTAATGTTATTCATGTTAATAATATGACGTTTTAACTCCTGTATTGATGCACAGAGCCTCATGAGGGAATAGTTTAGCCTACAGTTACCACTGAACTCAGAAATGAGTTAATTATTGGAGTGTCTTTCTCCTGGGGTCATAAGAATCCTTAATTGTATGCACATTTTTGTGCTTTCCCAGATCTAGTACACCTGATTGAACTCAATTGCTAATTTACAAGCTCCTGATGTGCTGGTTGAGGTGTGTCAGAGTGAGAAAAATACAAAACTGTGCAGTGTCAATTCTCAATTCACTATAAAGAAAGCAGTGATTACTGATAACTCATGATGAATTCATAATGTTTGTGCCCCCTAAAGTAAAGTGATGAACCAGTCACAATTTATTACTCATTAAATACTGATTCTTCATAATGAATTCATGTTTGTGCCCCTGAAAGTGACGAGCGAATCACAATTTATTTATTGAATAATTTATTTTTTTTAATTTATTGATTAAGTTTATTTATTACTGATTATATACTAATTCTTCATGATGAGTTCATGAGCTAATAAAATAGCAAGGGTTAATCATTTTACTTACCAAACTGACGGTCATTCTTTTGCCCTCTCAAGAACAGTGATGAAGGATAAGTAGCTACAATATGGCTCATATGAAAACATGACATTGACGAAATTCACAGGAATAAAAAAGCATATTTTATTATCATTTTAGGACTTCTACACAATACACAGAAACGGAGCACGTGAACGTGTCACTGTAACACGGAAAATGAAGAGAAACCAATACATATTGGTTCTGTAGTTCCACAAACATCTGTATAACGGACAGAACCGCTCGCTAATTAAAGTCACAAAGATATTCATACTGCAGCGGTGTTTCCAAATAACTCACACAAGCTGAAGGTCGAGTCTGTGACTCAGCTTTACTGAAAAACTCAGAACGGAGCACAAAAGAAAGGGGAGAATATGGCGCTAGGTTAGCGCTCGGCTAAGCGCAGTTAGCGCCCTCTCGCTGTCTCGACTCAGTCTGTTTACTACTAGGCCCTGTGAAGCACTGCCACCGCACACATAGCCCTTCACAATAAGAGTCCCTGTCAAAGGAGGATAACAAATGAACCAAGCAGCATAAATTAACATGTGATTTTAACCAGACAGAATAGACGTGCCTGACGCCACATATTACTACAATCACACGACGCTCGTGAGAAACACAAACACCTTACTGTTAAATCCAAAAAGGTTTATTGCAAATAACTAAGCACCAAACCAGATATTTAAGCTACTTTATAACGAATTTAGAAATAATAGTTCCTGCAAATCCGTTCTGTTTCACCACAGATAACAGCTGCATGTTTTACACCTTAGTCTAAAAAGAGGTGAGGCACGAACATACTAGCAGTCACAACACAGGCAACAATACCACGTGTAAATATTATATCTGTGATGTAAATTCCGTATATAATACAGTATGCATATGCATAACTCACCTTTAAAAGTAAGAAAAACGCGAAATATTGCAAACAGGTGAAAAGAGAAATATTGATTTTTTTTTGTTATTTCAATTATTTTCATTCGCTGCTCTTAAACGTTGTACTAGAGATATTCACTCAAGACTCTATGGCCGCTTTACATATAGCATTTAACGCAATTACTGCCATTTACTGGTGAAGAAAAATAGCAGTAATTTCCAGCCGCGGAAACAGTTGAAGTGTTACATTGCAAAATGCTGTGTTTCCATTAATAAAACATTTAGATATAGCACATTTTTAAAAAAGAATAATAGATGTGTAATGGGAAACACATTTTCATTTTCTGAAGGTGGTATTTCTCAGAATAACTGGCATATATTAAGATAATTCACAGTTTTAATTAAATCAAATGCCTATTTTTAGTAAATAAACTAGTTTACAGTTTATTGAACATACAACAGTTTATGTTTCTGTTGTAACAGTATGACATTGCAGTGTGACATAGGTAATCATAAATTGCATGAATAGAATGAAACTTACAGAGCCTTCATTTTGTATGCTTAATTAACACATGAATTCCTAATAAATTCAGGCACTGAATAAAGCCTTTATTGAGTCTCCAAAGATAAAGTCTGCTGACCATTCATTATTAAAAATGTCAGCAGCTGTAACTCTGTGGTCCCAGATTTTGTTGCGCATTATGTACAAATGACAAAAACCATGTCACTCTTTTCAGAAGGATCACAGCTACGAATCCAAGTGCCTCTAACATATATTTTTGCCTAGTATATCTTGCCTATATAGGTAGAAGTGATTTCCAGATCATCATGAGGTGACACAGAAGTTGGAGACACTGTCATCTTCTGCTGTCTTCTAAAATGAGAAAAAATGAGAAACCATATAAAATCAGGATTTGACTGGCGCGACATGAAAAGGTGGTGTCTGTAAACTTTACAGCACTTTTAAAACATAGCTTACCTAAACTCTTCAATCTTCTTCTGCACCCAAGCCTGGTTTGGATCGATGCAGAAATGTCCCTTTTCTGTCTCGAGGCTGTCAAAAGCAAGCTATTACATCAATGAATACATATTTATCTTTCTTAAAGATGCACATGTGTAGTTGTAGGTATGCACTGTCTGCTCTTCAGTTTGCAGAAGTGGTCCTTACATGACAGCTTTGACGCATGGAGGGTTCCTCTCCTGTAACCTGAAAGCTTTTAGGGGTTCCACCACCACGGAGCTCGAGACAGAGACACAGCAGGAACTGACTTTCTCAGCACCTAAATGAGCAAAAAACCCAAAACACATGAAGCAGGCAATGATTAAAAAGCACAAGACAAATGAGAAATCTGTTGGAATATTGCCGCACATCTCTCTTTATAGGAAAAGCAAAATTAACCTCTTAAATGGCCAGAGCGGTGGCGCTGCCCCAGTGTTTTATCACACACTGCTACCTAACAGCTCAACTAGTTTGCATTGAAGTCCCTGTAGTTACTGAATAATAAATTGCAGTATGTAATAAGCCTGAGATTTTATGGGGTAAACATTAACATTTAACATTAGGCTGATGCAAAGCTAGTTTATTCTGTTCAATATGGGACCATTTCTGTTTTCATATTATCAGGTTTTGTTGTAACGGCAAAAACATCACAGCAATGAAAAACATATCTGTAAACAAGTGGAGTAGATCAGCGCAGTCTACCTGCTACAGTGCAGACGATTGCTACGGCAGCCAGGTTCCTCATCACAGCCGCTGGTCTTCATTTTCTCACCTGATTTATATCTCGTCCAAAGAAGTGACTGATTACTGAGAGCCAAGCTGTGGTCTCAAGTTACGGCAAAAATAGGAACTGAGGAAAATGAAGATGTGTTCCATTTCGTCCTAATAGAGAGTATTTCTGTCAGAGGTACGACCATCTTTTCTGCTCAGTCAAACATGTGGCTCTACCGGGCATTTTCTAGTTCTTTTTTTTCTTTTTCTTTTCTTCAGTGCTGAGAAGATTTGATATTAAGGCTGTTTTCACACCTAGTTCGGTGCTAAAGTCCGAACCAGAGTTTGGGTTTTTGTATCATTTTCATTCGATTCGGTTGGTTTCACACTGCAACAGCTAAAGTGGACCGAATTACACACGAGTGCTTGTTTATTGGTCAGAAGGTTTGCCAGGATATAAGTGCTCTATTACTCTTATGGTTGCATCCATTTGAGGCAAAAACTCCTACTTTGCATGAAAATGAGACACTTAATGTCTATGTGTGTCACAGTCAAAGCAATAATTATAAACTTTACTTGGTGTAACAAAGTCTCTGCTGATCTCACCACAGAGGACCATGTTGCATTGGAATAGCAATCTTTGTGCTTTGGCTGTGCTGCTCGTCCTTTTTGGCTGCACAACTGGCATATCTGGTAGCTGTAAGTCTGCACTGAAATTTTAGTACTTAGGAATTCAAATGACGGTACATAGCATTTAACGAAGGTGTTTGTTTTAAAGATCTAGTATTGCTACTTCACTTTTGGTGATGTTTCTGTGCATACGCCAAAGAACAATGTGAGTAAGAGCTTCACGCTTGACTTCAGTTAGATTGCAGGAAGGATCTTATTACTTATCTTATTTCTTGGACACAAACTAGTCAAAAGTGGAAATGTGAATCATTTAAAGCAACAACCTAAAAATTGACTGTGGTATTTATTGAGGATCAGAGGACTGCTAGTCTTTTTTGCAGAGCCAGAACTAGATTTCATCTGAAACTGGTTTTGTCAGGAACGTCAGTGTTCATCTTTGGGCTCAAAATGTTCTGGTCACTGATATCAATACTGATCTGAGAGATAAGGCTTGAAATTCAGTCTCTATAGATAATGCCTGATCTGCCGACCATTCATTATTAAAAATGTCAGCAGCTGTAACTCTGTGGTCCCAGATTTTGTTGCGCATTATGTACAAATGACAAAAACCACGTCACTCTTTTCAGAAGGATCACAGCTACGAATCCAAGTGCCTCTAACATATATTTTTGCCTAGTATATCTTGCCTGTATAGGTAGAAGTGATTTCCAGATCATCGTGAGGTGACACAGAAGTTGGAGACACTGTCATCTTCTGCTGTCTTCTAAAATGAGAAAAAATGAGAAACCATATAAAATCAGGTTTTGACTGGCGCGACATGAAAAGGTGGTGTCTGTAAACTTTACAGCACTTTTAAAACATAGCTTACCTAAACTCTTCAATCTTCTTCCACAGCCAAGGCTGTCTTGGATCGATGCAGAAATGTCCCTTTTCTGTCTCGAGGCTGTCAAAAGCAAGTTATTACATCAATGAATACATATTTATCTTTCTTAAAGATGCACATTTGTAGTTGTAGGTATGCACTGTCTGCTCTTCAATTTGCAGAAGTGGTCCTTACATGACAGCTTTGATGCATGGAGGGTTCCTCTTCTGTAACCTGAAAGATTTTAGGGGTTCCACCACCACGGAGCTCGAGACAGAGACACAGCAGGAACTGACTTTCTCAGCACCTAAATGAGCAAAAAACCCAAAACACATGAAGCAGGCAATGATTAAAAAGCACAAGACAAATGAGAAATCTGTTGGAATATTGCCGCACATCTCTCTTTATAGGAAAAGCAAAATTAACCTCTTAAATGGCCAGAGCGGTGGCGCTGCCCCAGTGTTTTATCACACACTGCTACCTAAGAACAGCTCAACTAGTTTGCATTGAAGTCTCTGTAGTTACTGAATAATAAATTGCAGTATGTAATAAGCCTGAGATTTTAGGGGTACACATTAACATTTAACATTAGGCAGATGCGAAGCTAGTTTATTCTGTTCAATATGGCACCATCTCTGTTCTCAAATGATCAGATTTTGATGTAACGGCAAAAACAACACAGCAATGGAAAACGTATCTGTAAACAAGTGGAGTAGATCAGCGCAGTCTACCTGCTACAGCCCAGATAGTAAAAGCGACCCTTGCTACAGCAGCCAGGTTCCTCATCACAGCTGCTGGTCTTCATTTTCTCACCTGATCTCTATCTCGTCCAAAGAAGTGACTGATTACTGAGAGCCAAGCTGTGGTCTCAAGTAGCGGCATAAACAGGAACTGAGGAAAATGAGGATGTGTTCTGCTCAGTCAAACATATGTTTCAAGTTCTTTACTTCATTTCTTTTCTTCAGTGCTGAGAAGATTTGATATTAAGGCTGTTTTCACAAAGGGTGCTAAAGCCGAACCAGAGTTTGGGTTTTGTATCATTTTTATTCGATTTGGTTGTTTTCAAACTGCAACAGCTAAAGTGAACCGAATTACACACGAGTGCTTGTTTATTGGTCAGAAGGTTTGCCAGGATATAAGTGCTCTGTTACTCTTATGGTTACATCCATTTGAGGCAAAAACTCCTACTTTGCATGAAAATGAGACACTTAATGTCTATGTGTGTCACAGTCAAAGCAATAATTATAAAATTTACTTGGTGTAACAAAGTCTCTGCTGATCTCACCACAGAGAACCATGTTGCGTTGGAATAGCAATCTTTGTGCTTTGGCTGTGCTGCTCGTCCTCTTTGGCTGCACAACTGGCGTATCTGGTAGCTGTAAGAGTGCACTGAAATTTTTAGTACTTAGGAATTCAAATGACGGTACATAGCATTTAACGAAGGTGTTTGTTTTAAAGATCTAGTGTTGCTATTTCACTTCACTTTTGATAATGTTTCTGTGCATACGCCAAAGAACAATGTGAGTAAGAGCTTCACGCTTGACTTCAGTTAGATTGCAGGAAGGATCTTATTACTTATTTTATTTCTATTACAAACTGTAGTCAAAAGTGGAAATATGAATCATTTAAAGCAACAACCTAAAAATTGACTGTGGTATTTTATTGAGGATCAGAGGACTGCTAGTCTTTTTTGCAGAGCCAGAACTAGACTTCATCTGAAACTAGTTTTGTTAAGAATGTCAGTGCTCATCTTTGGGCTCAACATGTTCTGGTCACTGACATCAATACTGATCTGAGAGATAAGGCTTGAAATTCAGTCTCTATAGATAATGCCTGATCTGCCGACCATTCATTATTAAAAATGTCAGCAACTGTAACTCTGTGGTCCCAGATTTTGTTGCGCATTATGTACAAATGACAAAAACCACGTCACTCTTTTCAGAAGGATCACTGAAAAGAGTGATCCTACGAATCCAAGTGTCTCTAACATATATTTTTGCCTAGTATAACTTGCCTGTATAGGTAGAAGTGATTTTCAGATCATCGTGAGGTGACACAGAAGTTGGAGACACTGTTGTCTTCTGCTGTCTTCTAAAATGAGAAAAAATGAGAAACCATATAAAATCAGGATCTGACTGGCGCGACATGAAAAGGTGGTGTCTGTAAACTTTACAGCACTTTTAAAACATAGCTTACCTAAACTCTTCAATCTTCTTCTGCACCCAAGCCTGGTTTGGATCGATGCAGAAAGTTCCCTTTTCTGTCTCGAGGCTGTCAAAAGCAAGTTATTACATCAATGAATACATATTTATCTTTCTTAAAGATGCACATGCGTAGTTGTAGGTATGCACTGTCTGCTCTTCAATTTGCAGAAGTGGTCCTTACATGACAGCTTTGACGCATGGAGGGCTCCTCTCCTGTAACCTGAAAGCTTTTAGGGGTTCCACCACCATGGAGCTCGAGACAGAGACACAGCAGGGACTGACTTTCTCGGCATATAAATGAGCAAAAAACCCAAAACACATGAAGCAGCCGATGAATAAAAAGCACAACACAATTGAGAAATCTGTCGGAATATTATCTCTCTTTAAAGGAAAAGCAAAATTAACATTAACATTTAACATTAGGCAAATGTGAAGCTAGTTAATTCTATTCTATATGGGTCCATTTCTGTTGTAAAGTTATCAGATTTTGGTGTAACAACAAAAATGTTGGTCCACAACTATAAAACATCACAGCAATGGCAAACATATCTGTAAACAAGTGCAGTCTACCTGCTGAGGTCCAGATAGTAAAAGTGACGATTGCTACGGTGGCCAGGCTCCTCATCACAGCTACGCTGGTCTTCATTTTCTCACCTGATCTCTGTCTCGTCCGAAGAAGTGACTGAGTACTGAGAGCCAAGCTGTGGTCTCAAGTAACAGCAAAAACAGGAACTGAGGAAAATGAACGATGTGTTCCATTACATCCTAATAGAGTATTTCTGCTCAGTCAAACATATGTTTCAGGTTCTTTTCTTCATTTTCTTTTCTTCAGTGCTGAGAAGATTTGATATTAAGGCTGTTTTCACACCTAGTTCGGTGCTAAAGTCCGAACCAGAGTTTGGGTTTTTGTATCATTTTTATTCGATTCGGTTGGTTTCACACTGCAACAGCTAAAGTGGACCGATTACACACGAGTGCTTGTTTATTGGTCATTGGGTTTGCCAGGATATAAGTGTTCTGTTACTCTTATGGTTACATCCATTTGAGGCAAAAACTCCTACTTTGCATGAAAATGAGACACTTAATGTCTATGTGTGTCACAGTCAAAGCAAATAATAATAAAGTTTACTTGGTGTAACAAAGTCTCTGCTGATCTCACCACAGAGAACCATGTTGCGTTGGAATAGCAATGTTTGTGCTTTGGCTGTGCTGCTTGTCCTCTTTGGCTGCACAACTGGCGTATCTGGTAGCTGTAAGAGTGCACTGAAATTTTAGTACTTAGGAATTCAAATGACGGTACATATGATTTAACGAAGGCGTTTGTTTTAAAGATTAGTATTGCTATTTCACTTTTGTGAAATTTTTTCTGTGCATACGCCAAAGAACAATGTGAGTAAGAGCTTCACGTGACTTCAGTTAGTTGCAGGAAGGATCTTATTACTTATCTTATTCTTGGACACAAACTAGTCAAAGTGGAAATATGAATCATTTAAAGCAACAACCTAAAAATTGACTGTGGTATTTTATTGAGGATCAGAGGACTGCTAGTCTTTTTTGCAGAGCCAGAACTAGACTTCATCTGAAACTAGTTTTGTTAAGAATGTCAGTGCTCATCTTTGGGCTCAAAATGTTCTGGTCACTGATATCAATACTGATCTGAGAGATAAGGCTTGAAATTCAGTCTCTATAGATAATGCCTGATCTGCCGACCATTCATTATTAAAAATGTCAGCAACTGTAACTCTGTGGTCCCAGATTTTGTTGCGCATTATGTACAAATGACAAAAACCACGTCACTCTTTTCAGAAGGATCACAGCTACGAATCCAAGTGCCTCTAACATATATTTTTGCCTAGTATATCTTGCCTGTATAGGTAGAAGTGATTTCCAGATCATCATGAGGTGACACAGAAGTTGGAGACACTGTCATCTTCTGCTGTCTTCTAAATGAGAAAAAATGAGAAACCATATAAAATCAGGATTTGACTGGCGCGACATGAAAAGGTGGTGTCTGTAAACTTTACAGCACTTTTAAAACATAGCTTACCTAAACTCTTCAATCTTCTTCTGCACCCAAGCCTGGTTTGGATCGATGCAGAAAGTTCCCTTTTCTGTCTCGAGGCTGTCAAAAGCAAGTTATTACATCAATGAATACATATTTATCTTTCTTAAAGATGCACATGTGTAGTTGTAGGTATGCACTGTCTGCTCTTCAATTTGCAGAAGTGGTCCTTACATGACAGCTTTGATGCATGGAGGGTTCCTCTTCTGTAACCTGAAAGATTTTAGGGGTTCCACCACCACGGAGCTCGAGACAGAGACACAGCAGGAACTGACTTTCTCAGCACCTAAATGAGCAAAAAACCCAAAACATATAAAGCAGGCAATGATTAAAAAGCACAACACAAATGAGAAATCTGTTGGAATATTGCCGCACATCTCTCTTTATAGGAAAAGCAAAATTAACCTCTTAAATGGCCAGAGCGGTGGCGCTGCCCCAGTGTTTTATCACACACTGCTACCTAAGAACAGCTCAACTAGTTTGCATTGAAGTCTCTGTAGTTACTGAATAATAAATTGCAGTATGTAATAAGCCTGAGATTTTAGGGGTACACATTAACATTTAACATTAGGCAGATGCGAAGCTAGTTTATTCTGTTCAATATGGCACCATCTCTGTTCTCAAATGATCAGATTTTGATGTAACGGCAAAAACAACACAGCAATGGAAAACGTATCTGTAAACAAGTGGAGTAGATCAGCGCAGTCTACCTGCTACAGCCCAGATAGTAAAAGCGACCCTTGCTACAGCAGCCAGGTTCCTTATCACAGCTGCTGGTCTTCATTTTCTCACCTGATCTCTATCTCGTCCAAAGAAGTGACTGATTACTGAGAGCCAAGCTGTGGTCTCAAGTAGCGGCATAAACAGGAACTGAGGAAAATGAGGATGTGTTCTGCTCAGTCAAACATATGTTTCAAGTTCTTTACTTCATTTTCTTTTCTTCAGTGCTGAGAAGATTTGATATTAAGGCTGTTTTCACAAAGGCCGAACCAGAGTTTGGGTTTTGTATCATTTTTATTCGATTTGGTTGTTTTCAAACTGCAACAGCTAAAGTGAACCGAATTACACACGAGTGCTTGTTTATTGGTCAGAAGGTTTGCCAGGATATAAGTTTTCTGTTACTCTTATGGTTACGTCCATTTGAGGCAAAAACTCCTACTTTGCATGAAAATGAGACACTTAATGTCTATGTGTGTCACAGTCAAAGCAATAATTATAAACTTTACTTGGTGTAACAAAGTCTCTGCTGATCTCACCACAGAGAACCATGTTGCGTTGGAATAGCAATCTTTGTGCTTTGGCTGTGCTGCTCATCCTCTTTGGCTGCACAACTGGCGTATCTGGTAGCTGTAAGTCTGCACTGAAATTTTTAGTACTTAGGAATTCAAATGACGGTACATAGCATTTAACGAAGGTGTTTGTTTTAAAGATCTAGTGTTGCTATTTCACTTCACTTTTGATAATGTTTCTGTGCATACGTCAAAGAACAATGTGAGTAAGAGCTTCACGCTTGACTTCAGTTAGATTGCAGGAAGGATCTTATTACTTATTTTATTTCTATTACAAACTGTAGTCAAAAGTGGAAATATGAATCATTTAAAGCAACAACCTAAAAATTGACTGTGGTATTTTATTGAGGATCAGAGGACTGCTAGTCTTTTTTGCAGAGCCAGAACTAGACTTCATCTGAAACTAGTTTTGTTAAGAATGTCAGTGCTCATCTTTGGGCTCAACATGTTCTGGTCACTGACATCAATACTGATCTGAGAGATAAGGCTTGAAATTCAGTCTCTATAGATAATGCCTGATCTGCCGACCATTCATTATTAAAAATGTCAGCAACTGTAACTCTGTGGTCCCAGATTTTGTTGCGCATTATGTACAAATGACAAAAACCACGTCACTCTTTTCAGAAGGATCACTGAAAAGAGTGATCCTACGAATCCAAGTGTCTCTAACATATATTTTTGCCTAGTATAACTTGCCTGTATAGGTAGAAGTGATTTTCAGATCATCGTGAGGTGACACAGAGGTTGGAGACACTGTCGTCCTTTGTTGTCTTCTAATAAAATGAGAAAACTTATAAAATCAGGATCTCGTTGGCGCGACATGGAAAGGTGGTGTCTGTAAATTTTACAACACTTTTAAAAAAGTACATGTTAAGCTTGCCTAAACTCTTCAATCTTCTCCTGCACCCAAGGCTCTTCTGGATCGATGCAGAAATGTCCATTTTCTGTCTCAAAGCTGTCAAAGCAAGTTATTACAGTTATGAATACATAATTATCTTTCTTAAAGATGCACATGCGTAGTTGTAGGTATGCACTGTCTGCTCTTCATTTGCAGAAGTGGTCCCTTACATGACAGCTTTGACGCATGGAGGGCTCCTCTCCTGTAACCTGAAAGCTTTTAGGGGTTCCACCACCATGGAGCTCGAGACAGAGACACAGCAGGGACTGACTTTCTCGGCATATAAATGAGCAAAAAACCCAAAACACATGAAGCAGCCGATGAATAAAAAGCACAACACAATGAGAAATCTGTCGGAATATTATCTCTCTTTAAAGGAAAAGCAAAATTAACATTAACATTTAACATTAGGCAAATGTGAAGCTAGTTAATTCTATTCTATATGGGTCCATTTCTGTTGTAAAGTTATCAGATTTTGGTGTAACAACAAAAATGTTGGTCCACAACTATAAAACATCACAGCAATGGCAAACATATCTGTAAACAAGTGCAGTCTACCTGCTGAGGTCCAGATAGTAAAAGTGACGATTGCTACGGTGGCCAGGCTCCTCATCACAGCTACGCTGGTCTTCATTTTCTCACCTGATCTCTGTCTCGTCCGAAGAAGTGACTGAGTACTGAGAGCCAAGCTGTGGTCTCAAGTAACAGCAAAAACAGGAACTGAGGAAAATGAACGATGTGTTCCATTTCGTCCTAATAGAGTATTTTTTTTTCTGCTCAGTCAAACATATGTTTCAGGTTCTTTTCTTCATTTTCTTTTCTTCAGTGCTGAGAAGATTTGATATTAAGGCTGTTTTCACACCTAGTTCGGTGCTAAAGTCCGAACCAGAGTTTGGGTTTTTGTATCATTTTTATTCGATTCGGTTGGTTTCACACTGCAACAGCTAAAGTGGACCGAATTACACACGAGTGCTTGTTTATTGGTCAGAAGGTTTGCCAGGATATAAGTGCTCTATTACTCTTATGGTTGCATCCATTTGAGGCAAAAACTCCTACTTTGCATGAAAATGAGACACTTAATGTCTATGTGTGTCACAGTCAAAGCAATAATTATAAACTTTACTTGGTGTAACAAAGTCTCTGCTGATCTCACCACAGAGGACCATGTTGCATTGGAATAGCAATCTTTGTGCTTTGGCTGTGCTGCTCGTCCTTTTTGGCTGCACAACTGGCATATCTGGTAGCTGTAAGTCTGCACTGAAATTTTAGTACTTAGGAATTCAAATGACGGTACATAGCATTTAACGAAGGTGTTTGTTTTAAAGATCTAGTATTGCTATTTCACTTTTGGTGATGTTTCTGTGCATACGCCAAAGAACAATGTGAGTAAGAGCTTCACGCTTCAGTTAGATTGCAGGAAGGATCTTATTACTTATCTTATTTCTTGGACACAAACTAGTCAAAAGTGGAAATATGAATCATTTAAAGCAACAACCTAAAAATTGACTGTGGTATTTTATTGAGGATCAGAGGACTGCTAGTCTTTTTTGCAGAGCCAGAACTAGACTTCATCTGAAACTAGTTTTGTTAAGAATGTCAGTGCTCATCTTTGGGCTCAAAATGTTCTGGTCACTGATATCAATACTGATCTGAGAGATAAGGCTTGAAATTCAGTCTCTATAGATAATGCCTGATCTGCCGACCATTCATTATTAAAAATGTCAGCAACTGTAACTCTGTGGTCCCAGATTTTGTTGCGCATTATGTACAAATGACAAAAACCACGTCACTCTTTTCAGAAGGATCACAGCTACGAATCCAAGTGCCTCTAACATATATTTTTGCCTAGTATATCTTGCCTGTATAGGTAGAAGTGATTTCCAGATCATCATGAGGTGACACAGAAGTTGGAGACACTGTCATCTTCTGCTGTCTTCTAAAATGAGAAAAAATGAGAAACCATATAAAATCAGGATTTGACTGGCGCGACATGAAAAGGTGGTGTCTGTAAACTTTACAGCACTTTTAAAACATAGCTTACCTAAACTCTTCAATCTTCTTCTGCACCCAAGCCTGGTTTGGATCGATGCAGAAATGTCCCTTTTCTGTCTCGAGGCTGTCAAAAGCAAGTTATTACATCAATGAATACATATTTATCTTTCTTAAAGATGCACATGTGTAGTTGTAGGTATGCACTGTCTGCTCTTCAATTTGCAGAAGTGGTCCTTACATGACAGCTTTGATGCATGGAGGGTTCCTCTTCTGTAACCTGAAAGATTTTAGGGGTTCCACCACCACGGAGCTCGAGACAGAGACACAGCAGGAACTGACTTTCTCAGCACCTAAATGAGCAAAAAACCCAAAACACATGAAGCAGGCAATGATTAAAAAGCACAAGACAAATGAGAAATCTGTTGGAATATTGCCGCACATCTCTCTTTATAGGAAAAGCAAAATTAACCTCTTAAATGGCCAGAGCGGTGGCGCTGCCCCAGTGTTTTATCACACACTGCTACCTAAGAACAGCTCAACTAGTTTGCATTGAAGTCTCTGTAGTTACTGAATAATAAATTGCAGTATGTAATAAGCCTGAGATTTTAGGGGTACACATTAACATTTAACATTAGGCAGATGCGAAGCTAGTTTATTCTGTTCAATATGGCACCATCTCTGTTCTCAAATGATCAGATTTTGATGTAACGGCAAAAACAACACAGCAATGGAAAACGTATCTGTAAACAAGTGGAGTAGATCAGCGCAGTCTACCTGCTACAGCCCAGATAGTAAAAGCGACCCTTGCTACAGCAGCCAGGCTCCTCATCACAGCTGCTGGTCTTCATTTTCTCACCTGATCTCTATCTCGTCCAAAGAAGTGACTGATTACTGAGAGCCAAGCTGTGGTCTCAAGTCAGCGGCATAAACAGGAACTGAGGAAAATGAGGATGTGTTCTGCTCAGTCAAACATGATGTTTTCAAGTTCTTTACTTCATTTTCTTTTCTTCAGTGCTGAGAAGATTTGATATTAAGGCTGTTTTCACAAAGGCAGTCCGAACCAGAGTTTGGGTTTTGTATCATTTTTATTCGATTTGGTTGTTTTCAAACTGCAACAGCTAAAGTGAACCGAATTACACACGAGTGCTTGTTTATTGGTCAGAAGGTTTGCCAGGATATAAGTTTTCTGTTACTCTTATGGTTACGTCCATTTGAGGCAAAAACTCCTACTTTGCATGAAAATGAGACACTTAATGTCTATGTGTGTCACAGTCAAAGCAATAATTATAAAATTTACTTGGTGTAACAAAGTCTCTGCTGATCTCACCACAGAGAACCATGTTGCGTTGGAATAGCAATCTTTGTGCTTTGGCTGTGCTGCTCATCCTCTTTGGCTGCACAACTGGCGTATCTAGTAGCTGTAAGTCTGCACTGAAATTTTTAGTACTTAGGAATTCAAATGACGGTACATAGCATTTAACGAAGGTGTTTGTTTTAAAGATCTAGTGTTGCTATTTCACTTCACTTTTGATAATGTTTCTGTGCATACGCCAAAGAACAATGTGAGTAAGAGCTTCACGCTTGACTTCAGTTAGATTGCAGGAAGGATCTTATTACTTATTTTATTTCTATTACAAACTGTAGTCAAAAGTGGAAATATGAATCATTTAAAGCAACAACCTAAAAATTGACTGTGGTATTTTATTGAGGATCAGAGGACTGCTAGTCTTTTTTGCAGAGCCAGAACTAGACTTCATCTGAAACTAGTTTTGTTAAGAATGTCAGTGCTCATCTTTGGGCTCAACATGTTCTGGTCACTGACATCAATACTGATCTGAGAGATAAGGCTTGAAATTCAGTCTCTATAGATAATGCCTGATCTGCCGACCATTCATTATTAAAAATGTCAGCAACTGTAACTCTGTGGTCCCAGATTTTGTTGCGCATTATGTACAAATGACAAAAACCACGTCACTCTTTTCAGAAGGATCACTGAAAAGAGTGATCCTACGAATCCAAGTGCCTCTAACATATATTTTTGCCTAGTATAACTTGCCTGTATAGGTAGAAGTGATTTTCAGATCATCGTGAGGTGACACAGAAGTTGGAGACACTGTTGTCTTCTGCTGTCTTCTAAAATGAGAAAAAATGAGAAACCATATAAAATCAGGATCTGACTGGCGCGACATGAAAAGGTGGTGTCTGTAAACTTTACAGCACTTTTAAAACATAGCTTACCTAAACTCTTCAATCTTCTTCTGCACCCAAGCCTGGTTTGGATCGATGCAGAAAGTTCCCTTTTCTGTCTCGAGGCTGTCAAAAGCAAGTTATTACATCAATGAATACATATTTATCTTTCTTAAAGATGCACATGCGTAGTTGTAGGTATGCACTGTCTGCTCTTCAATTTGCAGAAGTGGTCCTTACATGACAGCTTTGACGCATGGAGGGCTCCTCTCCTGTAACCTGAAAGCTTTTAGGGGTTCCACCACCATGGAGCTCGAGACAGAGACACAGCAGGGACTGACTTTCTCGGCATATAAATGAGCAAAAAACCCAAAACACATGAAGCAGCCGATGAATAAAAAGCACAACACAATTGAGAAATCTGTCGGAATATTATCTCTCTTTAAAGGAAAAGCAAAATTAACATTAACATTTAACATTAGGCAAATGTGAAGCTAGTTAATTCTATTCTATATGGGTCCATTTCTGTTGTAAAGTTATCAGATTTTGGTGTAACAACAAAAATGTTGGTCCACAACTATAAAACATCACAGCAATGGCAAACATATCTGTAAACAAGTGCAGTCTACCTGCTGAGGTCCAGATAGTAAAAGTGACGATTGCTACGGTGGCCAGGCTCCTCATCACAGCTACGCTGGTCTTCATTTTCTCACCTGATCTCTGTCTCGTCCGAAGAAGTGACTGAGTACTGAGAGCCAAGCTGTGGTCTCAAGTAACAGCAAAAACAGGAACTGAGGAAAATGAACGATGTGTTCCATTTCGTCCTAATAGAGTATTTTTTTTTCTGCTCAGTCAAACATATGTTTCAGGTTCTTTTCTTCATTTTCTTTTCTTCAGTGCTGAGAAGATTTGATATTAAGGCTGTTTTCACACCTAGTTCGGTGCTAAAGTCCAAACCAGAGTTTGGGTTTTTGTATCATTTTTATTCGATTCGGTTGGTTTCAAACTGCAACAGCTAAAGTGGACCGATTTACACACGAGTGCTTGTTTATTGGTCATTGGGTTTGCAGATATATAAGTTTTCTGTTACTCTTATGGTTACATCCATTTAAGGCAAAAACTCCTACTTTGCATGAAAATGAGACACTTAATGTCTATGTGTGTCACAGTCAAAGCAAAAATAATAAAGTTTACTTGGTGTAACAAAGTCTCTGCTGATCTCACCACAGAGAACCATGTTGCGTTGGAATAGCAATGTTTGTGCTTTGGCTGTGCTGCTTGTCCTCTTTGGCTGCACAACTGGCGTATCTGGTAGCTGTAAGAATGCACTGAAAATTTTAGTACTTAGGAATTCAAATGACGATACATATGATTTAATGGAAGGCATTTGTTTTAAAGAATTAGTATTGCTATTTCACTTCACTTATGAAAATTTTTTTGTGCATACATCAAAGAACAATGTGAGTAAGAGCTTCACGCTTGACTTCAGTTTGTTAGCAGGAAGGATCTTATTACTTATCTTATTTCTTGGACACTTACAAACTAGTCAAAAGTGGAAATATGAATCATTTAAATCATGCCAGTAACTTGTGAACAGCTTAAAAATTGACCGTGATATTGTATTGAAGATTAGATGACTGTTGGTTTTTTTTTTGCATACCCACTTCTTGCTTTTGATTACGTAAAACTTTCATGCTTGTAGAGTTATTAAATTGGAAAGCCCCTCTCTCTCTCTCTCTCTCTCTCTCTCTCTCTCTCTCTCTCTCTCTCTCTCTTTCTCTCTTTCAGTTCGTCAGCCTACTAGAGTCGTTCTGGTTTGCTATGAGCAAGTGTCCAAAATGCCTATCCCACATCACGTAATGCTCATTGGAAACAAGTATCAGAGTGCATTGGCATCTTGTCTTGCAGCAATTATGTAAATAATTTACATCTATCATTTGTAGATTTTACTCAAAGACAGAAAAATTCGGCTCTGACCCCGCTGCCCGCTGGAGCCAAAAGAGACAAAAAGGTATTTACACCTGCAGCCACCACAGTAGAGCCTGAACTAGCCTTCATCTGAAACTGGTTTTGTCAGGAACGTCAGTGTTCATCTTTGGGCTCAAAATGTTCTGGTCACTGATATCAATACTGATCTGAGATGTAAAGCTTGAAATTGAGTCCCTAAACAATAAGCCTGATCTGATGACCATATATTGTTAAAAATGTCAGCAACTGTAACTCTGTGGTCCCAGATTTTGTTGCGCATTATATACAAATGACAAAAACCATGTCATTCTTTTCAGAAGGATCACAGCCACAAATCCAAGTGCCTCCAATATGTATATTTTTGCAAAGTATATCTTGCCTATGTATATTGAAATTCTTTCCAGATCATCGGGAAAAAATGACGTGAAAGGTCCCTTGCAGGGCTTACAGTGTGTTACAAATGTTAATATGACTCAATGTTGTGTTATAGTATTGAGTGAGAACCCTACAAATACAAAATTAAGGGGGTTTGGCTGGATATACAGAAATCAGTAGCTCTTATTTGAAGATGAATTTGAGCAATAAATCTTTATATTTGCTATTAAGATCATACATGAACGTATTTCACTTCCAGGTTTCGGTAATACCACTGAAGCTTCACTCAGAGTATCACTTCACTTTAGAATTTCTAGACACATAAAATAACCCTAATCATTATTAAGACTGGTGAGAACAAAGACTCTTGTCCAGTCACAAACCGGATAACAAGCATTATGAATGTTTTTGTTGCTAGCTAGCTAACACGGCAGTAGGGCAGGGATGAAGCAAGCATGTCTAAGCATGTTATTTAGATTAATAGGTTAAATAATACACCAGTAAGATTTCTTAGAGATGCTGTCGAAGTCATCACTCCTTATGTTTCTCATATTGTTAACATACAGGCAGCTACAGTACCAAATGCCTCAAAAATGGTGAGATACAAAAACTAGTTTCTTATATGAAATCTGCAGATACATGTCTGCTCTATCTAACTGATCCCACAAGAAGAGATGTAGATGAAAGAATATTTTGTGGGATTTACAGAATTTGATACAGCTGATTATGTCATTTTATTAAGTAAGTTGAGGGCTAACGGGTTTACTAGTTTGACCTTAAAATGGAATCAGTTGTGTTTAAAATGTTTTCAGAAAATCATAGGCGGATGGTTGATGTAAATGGGATTTTTTCAGAGCACAGGAGTATGGGATGCAGAGTTCCACAAGGGACTATTTTGGGACCCTTATTTTTTTATTATATGTCAGAGATCTAAAATCAGTCTGTACGTGTTGTATCTTCTTACATGCAGATGATTCTGCTCTTTTGGTGCGTCAAAAGGATAAAGCAGTTGTTGAAAATATCCTTAGTGTACAACCTCAAAATGTAAGTAAATTGTTATCAGATAATAGATTATCTCTACATCTTGGAAAAACAGATGCTTTTTTTACTGGTTCTAAAATAAAGCTAGGAAAATCATTGGGTCTATTTGTAAAAGTAGGAGAAGGGATGTGAATTAGATTGTTCTGTATCAGGTGAAGGTGTGGCTTTGAAAGCTCTCACTAACATAAATCAAAAAACAAAATATTTAAAACTAGAAAAGCTGTTTTTATTGGATATGTCAGCTTGGTGAATGTTGTTGAACAACTCTGTTCTGAGTCTTTTTTTACTCAATTCTCTCTTAATTTTGTCATGGATGTTGGGTTGTTTTTTCTCATTCACTGATCATTCAAGCAGCTTATCCTCCTCCTGAGTCATTCTAATGACCTAGCACAATGGTTAAATTACTTAAACCAACCAGTTGGGTTAAAGTAACCCAGCCTGTGTTCTGTCTTATATTTACCCAGCACTGGGTAGCCAAATAACCCAGGTTGGGATGTTTTTTAGCCCAGTATTTTTTAGTGTAATTCAGTATTCAGGCACACATAAGGCTTACTTTCACTCACTATTACGCGTACTTTGTTTTGTTGTGACCAGTCGAACTGTTCTTTTACTGTTCTGACAGGTGTGAACACTTCACACTAAACAAATGAACTGTAGTCTGAAAAAAATCAAAGGAAAACAAGGGAATTCAACATCAGTTCACATCAGTGCTGCACTGTCTCTGCCTGTTTATGTTTTGACTTCACTGAGACTTGTTATATTCTTGAAGCATCAGCTGTTTCTAATACTGTTTGGTTGAATTCAAACTGACGCATATTAAACCAATCGAGCATAAAGAAGTAGGGATGGAGTGAGGTTTTTTTTCTGTCTCTGATTGCGGTACATGGAGACTTTAATCAATTTTCAGGGAGTGCCCTGCCTCACTGTGTCAAACTGGATTCAAAACTTTATTGAGTAATTTATATGTTTCGTCATGCTGAGTTGAGTTTCACTCATAACCCCTTAAAATCCCAGGTATATTACATACTAAGGTTTATTACTCAGTAACTACAGGGACTTTAATAAAAACTGTCTGATCTATTCTTAGATTATTGAAGTGTGTAATAAAACTTTGGGCCCTGGCCTTGTAAGGGGTTAATACTCTAAAGATAACCATCTAAAAAGGTCAAACTCGTCAGGTAGCTGTGGACTGTGGTCTAGTCTTTAGTGGTTAATATGCTGTGATATGTTGTCCCTGGAATTATGGCGAACTTTGTTTAGTCTAGTGTCTACATTAGTGTCTGGGAAGGTTTTTTCCCTCCATTGAAAAAGAAAACAAGTACAGCATTGCATAATGCCAATTCAAATTTGATACATTTATTGTCCATTTAATGGCAATTTTACAGTGTCGTGGTTAAAAATACAGGGAAAATAATTTCATTGACTTTTCAATTATAAATAATAACATCTTCAAATAAATTCCACAACAAATTCAAATAAATACAATCTGCTTCAAAAGAAAACCTGCCCATAAATATGATAAATTAATACAATTTAGCTTAGCATTTAAAAAATGCCTTGTTAACCATTTTAAACATACATATCATATGTATAATTCAGGAACCACTGCATTGCTGGTTGGAGTGCAGATGTAGGGCAGTAATGATTTGGCTCGTCCTTCTTCTGAGATATTAACTGCTCTCAGTTGAGCTCTGTGGTGCTGAGAAAGTCAGGCGAGGTGACACAGAGGTTGGAGACTCTGTCGTGTTCTGCTGTCTTCTAAAATGAGAAAAAATGAGAAACCATATAAAATCAGAAACTGACTGTCGCGACATGAAAAGGTGGTGTCTGTAAACTTTGCAGCAGTTTTAAAATATAGCTTACCTAAACTCTTCAATCTTCTTCCGCACCCAAGCCTGTCTTGGATCGATGCAGAAATGTCCCTTTTCTGTCTCGAGGCTGTCAAAAGCAAGTTATTACATCAATGAATACATAATTATCTTAAAGATGCACATGTGTAGTTGTAGGTATGCACTGTACGCTCTTCAATTTGCAGAAGTGGTCCTTACATGACAGCTTTGATGCATGGAGGGCTACTCTCCTGTAACCTGAAAGCTTTCAGGGGTTCCACCACCCTGGACCTCGAGACAGAGACACAGCAGGGACTGACTTTCTCAGCATCTAAATAAGCAAAAAACCCAAAACACAGCCGATGAATGAAAAGCACAACACAAATGAGAAATCTGTTGGAATATTGTCGCATATCTCACTTTACAGGAAAAGCAGAAAAATTCTTAAGTTAATGTGAAGCTAGTTTATCCATTCGGTATGGATCCATTTTTGTTGTCAAGTTATCAGATTTTGATGTAGCAGCAAAAATGTTGGTCCACTACTATAAAACATCACAGCAATATCAAACATATCTGTAATCAAGTGCAGTCTACCTGCTACGGTCCAGATGGTAAAAGCGATGATTGCTACGGTGGCCAGGCTCCTCATCACAGCTACACTGGTTTTCATTTTCTCGCCTGATCTCTGTCTCGTCAGAAGAAGTGACTGATTAGTGAGGGCGAAGCTGTGGTCTTTTGTAGCGGCAAAAGAGGAACTGAGAAAAGTGAAGAAAAGTGTTCCATTATGTCCTAATAGGATTTCTGTCAGAGGTACGGCCCTTCTTGTACAGTCACCATATATGGCTCTTCCAGGCATGTGATCTCACTGTTCATGAATAAGCAGAAACCTGACTTAAACTGATTGTTTCCAGTGTCCTTTTGGAGATGGAAGCTCTACCCAGTTGACTACAATGCCTAATCTACAACTGTATTTGATTAATTGAGGCGTGGAAGGCTGAATCACTCAATGTGAGACAATGGAGTTGTCCACGCTTTGACTTTTACTGTAGTTTTTATCATGACTTTTCATTTTCTCTTTCTAATTCCTGTCATGTTAATCCCAGCACTTCAATATTCAGAGTGCCTGGGTAAGAAAAAAGCAATGTAAATATATTGACATAAAGAGGCCCCAAAAATTAAGTGGACATTGAATCCTTGGTAAACTTTATTGAAGTACTCTAGGTAAAATGCTTAACAAAAAATAAATAAATAAAAAATTAGCTGAAACAAAAACAGTTAAGAACTGGCTGCAGTGTTGCAGGAAGTTAACAAATTAACAGTATCCAATGTTACAGAAATGTACAGTTCAGTGGCATTTAAGTACAGGATACTACTGTAATTCAGTATTTTTACGGTATAATATGGCTAATGTTTAACAGTTTTTGAAAGGGGTGCACTTCTTTTCCTGGTAGGAATAGCTACAGATTTTTTCTCTGTATTTTCACAATGTTTCTCTATATTTTTCTCTATATCTATATATTTTTCTATATCTGTGTTTTTGCTGCTTGTAAATTGTGTCAAAATAACCTTTTGACCCACCACAGTGAAGTCAGTTGACATGGCCTTTCAATCATATGACTTAATAGTTTGAGTAGATCTTATAAAACAATTCTTATTTTATTGTGAATAAAGTTTTGATTGCACTTGAAACTGCAGTGTCAATAAAGGAAACCCCTGCTGAAAAAAACAGCAAAGACCAGCATGAATTCCATACTGACCTAAACAGGCTTATGCTGGTCTGGTGTTGATTGTTGATTGAAGGCATACCAGCATCCAAATTACAACATATCCTCAAAAGACTTGGTACCTTTTGTCAACTGCGAGGACATGAGTCCTCACAGGATATGTCAAAAACATTTTTAAGCTACAGTGCCGAAACCCTGTGCGGCATGTAGAGGACATCCTGTCCTTTCCAATGATGGGGTGTCATTTGCAGAAGGTGGTCTGCCTTTTCAAAATGGCTGCCCTAGAAATTTGATCTTAAAATTATTGAAATTCTCACACTAATTTTTCTGGGTCTCAGGACGTTATGCTGGTTTAAAATGATAATCCAGATGTTACTATAAAACTTTGTAAAACCTCACAAACAAATAAAATGGCATACAGTGATTTAAAACATAAAGATTGCTGAAAATCAAGCACAACTTGAATATGAGGAATCGCTATTACTGCTACTGCAAATCCCTCACAATGCAAGGAGCTGTTTTTAAGGATAACGGGATAATACTGTTGAAAACTGGCTGTTAACCCTCTGCAGTTCACCAACTCGACCGTGCATCTTTTGTTTCTATATCTGTTTCCTTCTCTTTGAATATTACAGTGCAGAAATACAGTTCAAACATTTCCTGAATCCGCAGAGTCACCCTTTTCATTCCATCTCATCACGAGTATCAATAGTAGATAATTCACTCACATCCTCTGAAGACACGTCCTTCACCAAGTGTTGAGTAATATTCAGATACTCCTTCAACACACTGGCAAAAGTCAGATTCATCCGCTTGTGGGGGTCCGAAGCACAACCAACCTTAATATTTTTCCACATGTTGCGTGCAATTACATATTTCCACCAGAGAGGTCTCCAAATCCCCAGAACTTACGTAGTGTTGCTTTAAATACTGCATTGACTGTGTTCAGCATTTCAGTGTTGTCCTTCAGACTGAGGGTTTGTCTGTAATTAAAGATTCATTATTTGAAGCCATGTTAACCCTGACAGGTTTTAGTAGGAGTCCAATTTTGTACAGTTCAGTACCTGCAACTAATAACAAGACTAAAATTCTTTACTAAAGACTCAATACTTGACTCGGACTCACACAAAGCGACTTGCAAACATGTCCAAATACTTTTTGGAGCCACTGTAAACCAACAAAGAGGAGAGCAGAGTTACAGATTGCAGTTTCTCTTAGTGTTGTGTCCTCAAACTGAAAGTAGCACCATCAGTTTGTAGACATCACATAATTTTTGACTAGAGGAAATGTTCACGATTAAGATATGGCACATTACTCATTATAAGACAAATTACTCATCATCAGTTCAGTGAATGCAGCAGTTTTCAGTATAATGTTCACTTTGAGTAAACGTACTGCTCTGTAATGTGTTTAGTGCTGTGTTATATGTCAGTGTATTTGGTATTATGTGCGTCTACTGTGATTGTATTTAGAACATTCTGTTCTGCCTATTTTTGTTTATCCCTACATGGTCATGTCTGTCACATCACTTGTTATGTATAGGCTGAGCCTAATCTTGGCAACAGTCCAGCTACAAAACTGCATCAGTCCATTGTCTTACGGACTGGCTTTGTGTACCTGCGCACAACAAATAAACCTATTTCCCCCCTCCAGACATACGACTAGTTCCCTGGTTTGGGTCGGGGTTCAGATTCTTCAATTTTTGAAGAAATGTTTTCCTTTCCTACTCTGTATTAACACTGAGAAGCATGCAGCTGAGACCAGAAGACCAGGAGGCACAAGACGTTGTCAAAAAGTATGAAGTTAAAGTTCATATTAATGGAAAATGTGCAATCTTAAAATCCAGCCTTGCCCTAACCCCGGCATCCGTGACATTTCATGAGTCGACTTCTGTGAATTCCACTGAAGTTATGATTGCGAAACCATAGTATATTGACAGGAAGACTTTGGGTGGACCTATTTTGGTAAAAAAAAATTGAAAAAAAGAAGACGAAAAATGAATAAAACCAATAATAATAGAAACAATACTAGTAAGCTAATTTGTATGTGAGCAGAAGTAAAAGTACCTCCTCGTGAAAAAAATGAGATTTTATGGATTTATGAGTTAAATTTCTAATTAGGATTACTTGGCTTGTGAAAAGAAGTGTGGAAAACTGAAACCAAATCCCCTGAAAAGAATGGAGGCAAAGACTGGACACACTAAAAGCTGAAAAAATAATGTTGGGGACACTTTATTCTGAGTGTCCTTTTTAGATGAAACAAACACTCAACAGACTCTCAGTAACATGTCAAAAACATGTGAGGGTTAGGATTAGGTTTCGGGTTGAGGTTAAGGTTTGGGTTAGGATTAGGGCCAGGGTGTGGGGTAGGATTAGGTTTTGGGTTGAGGTTAAGGTTAGGATTAGGGCCAGTGTGAGGATTAGGGCCAGGGTGAGTGTTAAAATTAGGTTTTGGGTTGAGGTTAAGGTTGGGGTTAGGATTAGGGCCAGTGTGAGTGTTAGGATTAAGGCCAGGGTGAGGGCTAGGATTAGGTGTTTGGTAAGGTTGGTAAGGTTAGGTTTTGCATAATGGAAGTAACATATTTATGTACATTAAGTGGATGTATTGTTATGTATCAACAGAACATCTACAGATATTTACATCAATGTATTCAGATGCTTCACTACTGCTACCTCACAGATATGTTGTTGATGTTACTGATACTCTCTTAAGAGTTTATTAATCATCTACAAAGGACCACTCCAAATAGTGTTACCATATTAGATTTAGTTATTGAGGCTCATGTGTAATTTTCTGTTAAATATATTTGTATAAAAATTGCTTTGCTCAAAAATAGAAGGGCTACAATAAACTAAACTGAGGCCGCTTTTCATGACTTACTGACTGAAAATGAAACAAAAGGTAACAGCAGAGGAATGTCTTCTGAAGATCTATGAGTGAAAATATACATTACTGTTTAAAGCTGTATTTACACACATGCTAGAAATAGCTGCATGTTTCTACGGTAATAACAGATTATTAGAGTCTTACTGGATCTTGCTGGAGGAATGATTAATTACAGCTCTCCCACAGCTGTGACCTTTAGCCAAAGTCAGAATAGTTCTGAAAGTCACACGCTGCCCACTAAACATCACTCTGCGTGTGCTGATGGTTTTCGTCTTCTTTGCTGATGTGGTTTTGACGAGGAGCTTTTTACATGACGTTAGCATATTGAGGGGCTTTTTTCAATTTAGAAACTGAATCTACAGTTGAGGTTCATGTTTTTTTATTTGATGTTGTAGCATCAGTGTAGAGTAAAACACATGAGAAGCAATGTCTCTGCTGCAAGAAGTACTCTTTATTAGAGCCACTAGCAGAAAGGCACATAACAGCTGGGTCACTTCTAGCCATAGATTGTCACTCTACTTTAGATACAAACCCACTCTAATTAACCCCAAAGCCCAACACACAATGACACAATAAACATATAACACATACCTTAAACCAAGAAGCAACAACATTAGCAACACAAATGTCCCCTTTTATGGAGAGCACATGCCTCCCATGAGCCTATTCGCATGGCCCTTTGCATGGCCACGCCTTTGGAGACTTTACAGAGCATGAAGTAGGATGCTACAGTATTTTAAAGGCCGGCTGAGACATCACTGCAAAGTGCAGGCTGTTTTTTTTTGTACCGCAATGATAACAGCTGTCCAGTAACAACAACAGGGGGGGATTTCATTTACTTTCATTTACTGTTGCACATCCAAGGCATTAACAGAGATAGTAATGAGTTAAATATATACAAAATGATCATTTCTGTTTTCATTTTTTTTCAAACATATTTTCCGCAATTAACTAAACTTTTTAAAGTACTTTAATGTGAAATATGATGAATTAATGTGTGTACAGCTGTGTTTGCTAGTCTTTTTTAAGTGTGGGTGTGTTTTAGTTCTACTCAAATTGAGCTAAAATTGTCATTACCAAAACAATC